CATGTACACGAGACACAAACGAAGACACAGACGATCATGTACACAAGACACAGACGATCATGTACACAGGACACAAACGACCATGTACACAAGACACAAACGATCATGTACACAAGACACAGACGATCATGTACACAAGACACAAACGATCATGTACACAAGACACAGACGATCATGTACACAAGACACATACCATTACTCCCCCCTCCCCGACCCTTGAGTTTATACAGAATACATTATGGCACAGACACTGCCCAAGACCCCCACCTGTCTGAGATAGCCACTGTCCCCTCGACAATGACTCACTCAAACTAACTAATTATGTTCTTACTTTTTCCACTAGATTTAAACTTTTGGTCTCGATGTTCTTCTCTTTTCTCAAACTCAACAACAGTTCAAGACAGAGCGAACTCAAACCCAAACTCAACAACTGCTAAAGTAAATAAAAGACAGTATAAGGGCGAAAGAGGGAGCGAATGCTCACCTCAGATATTATCATTTTTTTCCCTCACTGTGTCTCTTTACTCAATAACTCAACACCACAACTCCAAAGACGGTGTGAACATTCACCTCAGATACATCAATTTGGTTTACAATTCTATTTTTTTTTCTTTCTTAATTATAACAGTATCTACTTAGATTCTAGCTATCGGTTCTATTATTTTTTTTCTTCACACTATCTTTTTGCTTCATAAACTCAACAGCAGAACTCCAAAGACGATGCAAATGTTCACCTCAGTCATTATCAATTTAGCTCAAGCCTCGCCTCCCACCCTCCCGCCCTAGACGGTATAAGAACGTATCGCTCCCGCCCCAAATCCCAATCGGCCAACTCGGCGGTCCGAAACATCGGCGAGATTCCTGGGAATTACGGAGGGCCGCGGGTCAAGCCCTGGGCTAGTGCTGGGTGTGAACGCGTCCTGGGACGGTAGAGTTCTCAGTCTATTTAGGAAGTGAGAGGAATGAGGGAGGATGGCAGGGAGAGATGAAGGAGGTGAGGAAAGAGAATGTGGCAGGGTGTGGG